TGGTTGAGGATATAATTCACCTGGGCCTGCTGCTGTGAATTCATCAAACACAACTAAGGACTCTCTTACTAATGTCTTACCTACCTTGGATTTAAATTCCCTATTCACCAATTTTGTCCTGTCTTTTACAGATTATTTTGTAAGATTATTTTCCTTGGCAGAGAAAATGGAAAGCAAACTAAGAGTTGAATATTTCTCCTTGCTCTCTGTTCTCTGTTATAATCATCTCATCCTACCCACTCCAAACCAGTGCTTCTTAAACTTTTTCCACTTGAGACTCCCTCAGCGCTTCTGACCCCATATGGGGTTGTGACCCACAGTTTAAGAAGTGCTGCTTTAAATAGTGGTACCATCCCTTCTTTGATCTTCCTATTTTCCCCAACATAATTTTATAAAACCACCATTTTGTGGTACATAAGTCCAACCTCAGCTATTCTGAGTTTTAATACTTCTGACATTTGGTCTCCATAAAGCCCTACACTGCTATTCTATTCCTCCCATCATAAAGGATACAGACCTGAAAACTCTCAAGAAAGAGCCTGACCACAGAAAAGATTTATTTGTGGAATCAGGGGGGACAAAAATTCACTCACTGGGACTTCAATTACTGGACCACTACCCAAAAAATGAGTTACCCTTATTATCAAAAGTAAAATGTCATCAAAATTTCCAGTAAATTGGATCCAAGGAGTCTCACCTTAAACAGTCACCCCTCATATGAAACCTCCTCCCTGAAGAGCAATGAAGTTTCACAGGATAGTTGCCATGGACTCTGGGAATCATGATTCCAAGTGATGCTGTCACTCACTGTTGACTCAAGGATTCCAAGCCTCCCTGTTCATGAAAGGTTTTGGTGTAAATGCTGTCAAGAAAATTATGACTGTGTCTGAGTCACGGAGGAATACAATAGTATCTCTCTGGATATGCTGAAGATTGTCCAAGATCTCAATATTAGTACTATTAGAAAAAAAAAGCATGGTGTAGGACTTTTAGTCAATTGGGGGCATTTAGAAAAGTCCAATTTCATAGGCTATAGTTCTCCTTTACTATAAAAGAATTTTACCTAAAATTCTTAGGACAAATCTAGACAATGAAATAAAGTGTTAAATCCAGATATTTTTCTATATCAGTGGTTACCAAAGTTGTGGCCACAATCGCCTGGGAAGCTAAGGCCTGACCCCAAGTAGTTATGATTATTCAGTTGAAGGTGAAAAGATAGGTCACACCCCACTGCCTGCATGATAGAATGCACCATCATGGGCTTATTTCCTGCCCAAATACACCATCCGCTTCACCCACAACTCCCCCAACCCAACTCTTCCCACTTCTGGCTTCCTAAGGCTGAGGAAAATCAGCCTGTCAGGGTAGTTGTAATCTAACTTCATCTAGTCCCCCATTTTCTCAGATTCCTAATTATCCTTGATTCTTTACTCATGTAAAACTGACTTCTTCTCTCAGAAGCTACTGGTGTTCTCTTCTTACCAGATTTATTGGTCTTTTCTCAAACCTAATCCTTCTTGACCTCTCTACAGTATTCAATACCGTTGAACACTCTCTTCCCTGAATATTGACTCCTCTCTGGGTTGCTGTGAACAATCTGTATCAACTGTAAAAAAAAATGCTCATTTTTGTATACTTTAAAAACAAGGATATTGAATTTTCTAACCCATTGAAAGTCTTCTCATCGAACAGTTTGGGTGGGTCTTAAGCTTATTTGCTAAAAATGTTAAAATACATCATCTTCTGATTAGTTTACAAGAGCAACTGATTGCTATAAGGGAAGATGGAAATTTACTAGTTGATTTTTAAAAATTTGCATAATTGGTGGATGGAATTAAAAAGAATGTATTATGATTTAACTGCATTATGCACTTCTTTTTGGATCTTTGGGTCTTTGTGCGGTGCCTTTTTGAGATAGTCATAGAATCAAGTATAAAAATAAACTGAATTTATAATCAAACCTTTGACTCACTGTTTTAAATCACAAGTTTTAAACCAAGATTTTCCAAAATCAGGAAGCATATTAATCACATTACTCTCACTAAAAATATCATGACTGATAGATAGAAAGGTGTTTTGTATCATAATAAAACTTTTCAAAATAATATTTCATCTTTATCTCATCCTTTAATTTTTGTGTAAGTTGTATAATGTACATGATTACATAATTATTAATGTAATACTATCAGAGTGCTATATGTATATAATTTATAAATAAGCTAAAATGCATTTATTGGAGGTACATGCTTAAAAATTAAAAATATGGAGAGAATTGCTTAAGATAATTAAGGCTAAAAAGAAGGAACCTGGCTAAATCCTGGGCCCTAGGCAAGGTTTGAAATTGGTATAAAGAGAACATAAATATAATTTTATCTTTAAAAAAGGCAGGTATGATCCTAACTATTGAAGACTTTGAGACTTCACTGTAATACAGGAGGCTTTACTTACCACAAAATAAATGTCTATATCCTATAAAGAATGATACCTTCTGCCATTAAAAATATTTGCAGTAATCAAAAGAAACTATTAAAAATGTTCCTTTTTTTCCAACTTGTGCATTTTGCTCCCAGGCATCTATCAGTCTACCTTCCCTACTCTTGGTCCTAAATGCCTGGCTTAAAAAAGAAAAAAGTATCTCAGTAAGAAAGGGTGCCCTCTTGAGACCCTAGCAAAGACTGAATGTCTAGGGGCAGCAAGGTGGCACAATGGATAGAGCACTGGCCCTGAATTCAGGAGGACCTGAGTTCAAATCCAGCCTTAGATACATAACACTTACTAGCTGTGTGACCCTGGGCAAGTCGCTTAATCCGATTGCCTAGCCCCCCCCAAAAAAAAAAAACTGAATGTCTAGAGGAGCTAAAGGACAGAGAGTGATGTAGAGGAGAAGGCCTTCAGATGCAGAATGAACATTTTCCACTCTAGGAAGGCTTAAATAACTAATTTGCATATGAAAAAGCTGGTGAGACCATAAGTGCAGTTATACCTTCCTGTCACAGATTAGCCTAGTTGGTGTTGTGAGGCAGTGACTGTCCAGAGGCAACCATCTGGTAACACCATCTGGTAACAGTTGCAATGTGCCCTGTCCATTACTGTCCTCCAGTATCAGAGTGACCAGGCCAGCAGCCTCTAAGAACAACTAAACCCCACAGAAGAGCCAACATGGCTGCTGGACAACTCACTTGACCCAAGCCACAGCAGACTGGGCCATCCAGTCAACACACCAAGTCCTATGAGGATCAAGGCCAGATGAACAGTGGAATGACTCATCATAGGGTATGATACTCACACAGTGAGTATCATGAGTACCTTCTGGACAAACTCTCCTGCAATTCCAGAGTTATAAGTTGACTCAGTCATATGTGTTTCCTACATATGTGCCTCACTTCCACTATATAATGAGAAATGCATCTAAATGGCACAGTGGATACAGCATTAGGCCTGGCATAAGGAAGACCTGAATTCAAATCCAGCCTTAGACACTAGCAACGTAAACTTGAAAAAGTAACTTGACTCTGTCTGCTTCAGCTTCTTTAACTGTAAAATGGGGACCAAAATAGGATTCAACTACCAGGGTCATTGTGCTTAACACAGTGCCTGGCACATAGTAGGTGCTACATAAATGCTAGCTATTATTATTGTTTTGTAACTACTGTTCTTACTATGCCCTTTGAATGAATACTTTTACTAAAAAATTTAGTGCTGGCTAATTGTCAAGGGGAAAAACACTAGTGGGAGCTTGTGAGCTAGTATTAGGAGGCTAGCCACCCACAGGATTACCCTTAGATCCCTGAAAATAGTAGCAGCCACCCTCTGTGGACACATCCTGCCAGTGACTAGGAGTTCAGGGAGTAAGCCCAGAGGAGTATATCTGACTATTAGAAATGAAAGCATCGCGTGACCTGAATTATCTAAGTTCTCTAGGACATTTTGGCATAACCTTAAACCAATAGAAATTCTAATACTTTTTACCTAGGGGACATCCAAGGGTTGAAGTGGAAGAACAAAGTGGGCTGTCCCTCCATTCTCTCTACCTGGACTAAGGCTGAGGGAAGGAGATAGCTTCTCTTCCTAATCTGGCTGGGTTCTGATATCTTTTTTATTTTTATTTTTCCCCAATTTCCTTTTTTTTTTCCATTCTAAACTTTAAAAAAAGAGGAAATTTCCATGAATGCAGTAGAACAGAAAAAGACAGTTGTACATCAAACTGTAGCTCTCTATTATGTAAAGCTTGCTTTAATTTTTAAATGTAGAGTAAATGCAACATGTAATTCTCAAATCTGTCTTGCTTGTCTGTGATTCTTTTTTTTTCTTTTTTTGAGGCAATTGAGTGATTTGCCTAAGGTCACACAGTTAGTAAGAGTCTGAGGCCAGATTTGAACTCAGGTCCTCCTGACTCCAGGGTGGGTGCTTTATCCACTGTGCCACCTAGCTGCCCCCTTTTTTTGGTGAGGCAATTGAGGTTAAGTGACTTGCCTAGGGTAAGTGTTAAGTGTCTGAGACCAGATCTGAACTCAAGTCCTCCTGACTCCACTGCTGGTGCTCTATCCACCATGCCACCCAGCTTCCCCTTGTCTGTGATTCTTTTTTGCTATTTTCTTCTGCTACATGTTTTTTTTAAATATCTGAGTCAAAAACCCTCTTTTCCTTATTTTCTTTGTCTTTTTTTTTTTTTTGGCAATCTTATCCCTACCCTTTCTCCCTTTTCTGCATGCTTCCAAATTGGCAAAAGCAAAGCAAAGAGAAAAAACAAAACAGCTCTGGCATCTTTTAGAAGCTTAAGAGCTGCCTGTTTCAGCTCTACTGTCACCAAAGTAACATCCAATCTTCCTTCAGGTACTGAGAATTCATAACTTGCTCTCTTTTCCTTACTCTTTCCAGGTGGGAGAAATACAAAGAAACTACTCAACTTCTCTCCTAAGCAATGATTTTCCTGCAACCATTGCTATTTTTTTCAATTATCACAAGAAAACACACAAATTAAAGTTTTCAAAGTTGCCTTCTATATTTAATTCTTCCAGGAATTAAACGTTATCAAAGGAGTTAAGACTTAGTTCATTCTTTTATTAATAATCAGCACGACATTTTTGAACCAAAATAATGTCATCTTTACACATGAATGCCAACATCAAAAGGAGATTTCCAAAACTCAAACTCCCTGCTAGCTTGCATTGAAAGAAGAATGTAAGCAATTTCACCTTTGTATCCCCAATACCCAGAACAATACCTGGAACATAGTTAGGTACTTAATGATTTTTTTCTGGAACAGAGTTAAGTTTTTGTGGTTCTCTGCAGGAATGTGGTTTATAGTTATTTTGATTTATGCAATATCTCATCAAGATGTCCAACTGAGAAAGACTAACTCTTTAAATTGTCTTTATTACTTTGACAATGTCACTATTGGAGGTTGTCATGTAAAGACCAAGAGAAGGGAATGAAAAAAAAAGTTGATATACAAATGCTGCTTTATATAATCTTGTGATTTTCTCTCCATGTGGTAGAACCATGTTAATTACCTTTATGGCTTTTCAATACATCTAGCCCTGACTAACACCACCACCACCCCCCTGTTTATGGAGAGGAGAACCTGCCACAGAAGAGAATTGTGTTGGTACTAATGTGTTTTATGAAGAAAAGAAAAGGGTGATCAGCCACAAACATGATGCGAACAGGAAGCCTCTTTACAACAATAACATCCCCAGTTGCAGCAGATGCCTCTGTGCCCTCTTCATTAACATCTACAAAGGATTCATGGACAACTTTTGATAAATATAAGTTGCTACTTGGAGATAGTCCAGAAAGGTCAGCTTTTGAATGGTCAAAAACATCTGTCATCCCTAGTGTTTTTAACAGAGAATTTAGCTCATATTTAATTCCAAGTTTGAATCGGGGAAGTAGAACCTCAACTTCTTTCTCTATCATGAAAGAATTGGTCCACTCTTTGAATGTCTTCAAGTTGAGTTGCTTCTCAATCTAAAAGATAAAATACAGATTAAAAATGATATGTGATTTTGCATTAAAAATTAGATTTATTTTTGTGGTTCTCTGAGTGAGACTGGCTATATACATTGGCCCTGTTTTATTTGCCTTTACATTATGGTCAAGTTTCACTGGTCTTAAAAAAAATCTTCTATTGAACATGCTCCCTCCATTGCTATTAAAATCATAATTCTTGGGAGCAGCTAGATGGCAAAGTGGATAGAGCACTGGCCCTGGAGTCAGGAAGACCTAAGTTCAAATCCAGCCTCAGACACATAACACCTACTAGCTGTGTGACCTTGGGCAAGTCACTTAACCCCATTTCCTAGCCAAAAAAAAAAAAAACAAAAAACCATAATTCTTGCTTGCATTTTATAATTCAACTTTTTTTGTGAGGCAATTGGGGTAAAATGACTTGCCCAGGGTCACACAGCTAGTAAGTGTTATGTGTCTGAGGCCGGATTTGAACTTAGGTCTTCCTGACTCCAGGGCCAGTGCTCTATCCACTGAACCACCGAGCTACCCCTTATAATTCAACTTCTTAACTGCATAGTTTATAACTTGCTACCTCCAGTTCCTTACCCCCCAATCCCTTCCTTACCCCCTTGCATTCTGTTTACATAATCACCATTATATAAAAATTATTTCCTCTAAGAATATTAATGACTACTTTCTTGGTCTCCTCTCAGTTCATATCATCCTCAATCTCTCCTCTATTTAATGTTTGTTTTGCCTATAATAGGTCCTAATATGATCCTACCCTACACTAGGTTAAAGTTCATATTTTCCTACAAAGACCTTTTGCAAAGATCCTAACTCTGCATTACATTGCTTAAACCTTAACTTTATTCTCCTTCAATACAGGCATATGCCAAGCATGATGGCACATGCCAATAGTCCCTGCTACTGGATAGGCTGTGGTTAGCATATCTTGAGCTCAAAAGTTCTGAGCTGCAGTTGGGTTAAAGTAAGTCAAGTGTCCATAATAAGTCTGGCAACCAAGATGATGATCCTTTAGAGGTAGGGGGCCATCAGGCTGACAAAGGAGGTGCAGTCTGGCAGAGATCAAGAAAACAAAGCAGATCAAAGCTTCTGTACTGATTAGTGGTGGGATTAGGCCCATGAGTGGTTACTACAATGCCACCCTAAAGATCACTTAGTTCAACTGTATTTTGTTCCATGTTCCCTTCCCTTCTCCCTCCCCACAGTTGTATTACTTTTGTTTCCTCAGGGATGAACTCAGTGTTAACTTCTTTCACAAAGCTTCCTCTGACACAATCCACCCCCAGCCAAAGGACAGGAATTTTTCCAACATTTTCCCAGGACCTCTCCATGGTACTTAACTCACTCATCTTGTGTCACTTGTCTTTCCACCTCCATTGATTGTAAATGTCTTAAAAGAAAAGCCTGCATTTTGTCTAGTTATGTATGCCCTAAATCTAGCAGTTTCTTACAAAAAAAAATTTAGGAATGGAAATACTTGTTACTGAATTGAATAAGGAAACAGACCCAGAGGTTCAATGACTTGCCCAATATCACATAACTACTTAGCAGCAGAACTTGAACCTGATCTCCCAGTTTTTTGTCCAGGATGCTTTACACTGCACCATGCGCCTTTACTTCCTACATGGTACCTTCTGTTTCAGGTATTTCATTTAAGTATATTTTATTCTCCCAAAATAGACTCTCTTCAAGGACTGAGAATATAGCTTCTAATTCTTTTGACTCCTCCACAGAACCCAGGTCTATGCATGTAAAAGTATCCAATAAATTAATGCTGAATGAATAACACATGAACCATATGTGGCACGTATACAGTACATATGTTTATGAATACACCTTGTAGTAGCTTTACCTGTTCTACCTGTTCTGTGTGTTTTGGAAGAAGTATAATCATGCTTAGATCTCCACTAGCATATGGAAGCTCAAGGACTTGCATCTGAGGTTCTTTTATGAGAGCCACTTTAAATGTTCCAATTTGATGCATCATTTGCACAGGTACAGTCCGACCCTGTTGGGGGCAAGGAAAAGGAAAATGTTAAATATCCTGTGATGTGCACAATATAAATGTGTATAGGATATGTGTATATATCTTCATGTTTGTACAGCATGTGGCCACCACATATATTGTCCAGACGTTGAGTTAGTCCATCAGTCCACACATGATATCTTGGATGGACAATACTACAAATGAACAGAGAGCTAGGTTCAAAATTGAATATGAGGACTAGAATGAATAAAACTCACTTAGAAAATTGCCAGTGCTTTCAACAATTTCAAGCTGCTCCATAACACAAAAACATCTATATTCTTGCAGTGATGCTACATAACTACGAAACAAAATTGTAGGTGATACAACGAAAACTGGAAAGATTGCACAATGAGCACAGAGCGATTGTAGTCCATTGCTTAGCAGAGTGCCTGGCACATAGCAAGTAGTTAGTAAATGCTTCTTGTGTTGATTTAATAAGCAATGTATTTCTAATGATGACTTGTACAGAAGAAATGGTGTACTCTAAAAGACATCATCCAGAAAGCATTTGATCACAAAAGATGTGGGCTGGCCACATATAAGGGATGACATATAGTATAACATATAATAAGGGATAATATATGGCTAGCACAAGTACTACACTATACCCATTTAATGTTGAAAGAGCTAGAGGAAAGTACTGAGTGCTTTGTGCAGATTCTCTCCAGAGGATATTGGGAAAGAAGAAGACATAAACAAAAGTCACACAGGATTAAAAGTTTGCAAATGTGTTACAATCTGAACTTCTGCTGGCAGCTCCTGCTTCATGGATCCACTACACACACACACACACACACACACACACACAAACATACCCCATGTCCCAAAAGTCTTAGTGTAGTTTTGAGCTATTTGAGCTATTAAAACTTAAAACTGCATTGAGTTTTGAGACATCCTGTATACATGTGTATATATAATACATAATATGTGTGTGGATATATGCGAATATGTATGTATATATACATATTTGTATATATCAGTAGATTAAAAGCTATTAAAGTTTAGAACTTCAGTAAGACTTTGGGGCCCTGAATATATGCATGTGGGCTGTGTGTGTGTGTGTGTGTGTACATAAAGAGAGGGAGACAGACAGAGATAAAAGGAAGAGGAGGGGAGTATAGAGCAAGGTAGAGAAAAGATTGCGAAGTAAAAAGATTGTCAAAGTGGCTTATAAAAATGGGTCTCATTGGTTTAAAATCACTCCTCATCTGCATATAAAATACTGATAAAATAGAATATGTATTCTATTTCTCTCCACTTTTATAGAAGTAATAAAAATTAGAGGGGGGAGGAGCCAAGACTAAAAAGATCAAATAGTCTTAACAATAGATATAGATATAGATAACTCAATTATCCCCATAGTGGAGGCCAAAAGGCCTTTACCCAAAATGAATTCTAGGGAATGACAGAGTAGGATGGCATCACTTAGAGGTCTAACTAATTAGAAGTTCTATAGAGTAGGAAGAAATAGACATGATTATGATATCATGTCAGAGGCCACAGTACCAATCAAAGAAGGAGAACTGAATCAAAAGGTCCAGGTTCTATACCAGAAAAGCATGTGCCATATTACCACAAGGGAGTGCCTTGTGGGAAATAGGTTTTTGAGGCTGCAAAAGAAAAAATGGGAAATAAGAGTAGTCACAGAAAGCCAGTCAGTCAATAAACATTTATTAAGCACCTATTATGTGCCAGGGACTATGTGCTAAACACTGGGATACAAAGAAAAGTAAAAAGACAGTCCTTGTCCTAGAGAAGCTCATAGTCCAATGGGAGAGACAACATGTAACCATGTACAAGAAATAAATTGAGGATAACCACCAGAGGAAAGCCTCTAAAAATAGGGAAGATAAAGATAGGCTTCCTCTAGAAAGTGGGATTTTATCTACTTGAAAGAGGCCAAGGAAGCCAGGAGGCAAATACCAGGAGGTAGAAGATAGAATGTCTTATGTGAGGAACAATTAGGAGGCCAGTGTCACTGAATCACAGAGTACATAGGGGAGTATAAGGTGTAAGAAGACTGGAAAAGTGAGGAGCCAGGTTATAAAGGGCTTTGAATGATAGTAGAGGATTTTATATTTGATCTTAGGGGTGATAGGGATCCCTTGGAGTTCATTGAGGAGGATGGCATGGTCAGACCTGTGATTCAGAAAGGTCATTTTAACAATTATGTGGAAAGATGTACTGGAGTGAGGAGAGGATTGTGACAGGGAAATCAACTGGCAGGCCATTTCAATATTCCACTTGTGAGGTAAGGACTTGCACAAGGTGGTGGTAGTGTCAGAGGAGAGGACGAAGTGCCTGTGAGAAATTTGCGAAGGGAAAATCAATAGACCTTAGCAATAAATGGGATATAGGGGTGAGAAAGACTGAGGAGCTGATGATGATACCTAGGTCACACATAGGAAGTTTGGAAAGAGTGAGGGTTTAAATAAGGAATTCAGTTTGGGGCATATTGAGTTTAAGATGTCTATGGGGCATCCAATTCAAGATGCCCAATAGACTTTTGGAGATGTAAGACTGGAGCTTAGCAAAGAAGTTAGGGCTGGATAATTAAAACTGAGAATCATCAACATAGAAATGATAGTTGAATACATGGGAACTAATGAGATCACCAACTGAAATAGTATAGTGGGAAGAGAGAAGAGGACCCATGAAAAAGTCTTAGGGAACACTTATGGTCAGTGAGCACGACCTGGACAGAGAGCAGGCTAAGGTGACTGAGAAGTCACAGTTGGATAGGTAGGAGAACTGGGAAAGAATAATATCAAGCAACTAATAACAGTGAAAATCTAGAGAGAAGAGAGTATCAAGGAGAAGAGGGTGATCAGCAGTGTCAAAAGCTGCGGATTGAGAAAAGACCACTGAATTCAATAATGAAGAGATTCTTAGTTACTTTCCATTGAATGGATGAGTTTGGAAGCCTGACTCTAAGGTGAAGGAGAGAGAGACAGAGAAAGAGGACCTCCTCCAAGGAGGAGGACCACCTCTTCACTTCAGATAAATGTTTAGGAAGAGATTGTGACCAAAAGCTTCTGAGTGATGTGAGCTAAGGAAGAGAGGAGAAGAGGGAACTCTCAGAGATCATCCTCAGTGCTTTCAGGGGGAAAAAATGAAAGTGTCACCACCCTGAAATAATGTAAGACATGTTAAGAAATCTGCATGAACACAGACCAAATTTTGCATAAACCTTTTCTAGATTGCACTCAGAGGATAACTCTTTTCCCCAAACAAATGTTGATGAATATGAAAATGAGTTACATACCTTTCTTAGTTTAAAGGGCATTTTAATCGTCTCCTCTTCCTGAAATTTACTCTGCCACTGTCCTTTAAAGTAGATAGCATTCACCAGGACCATGACAGAAGAAGTGTCAATTGTTCCTTTAATAAACAGGTTCTTGATTTTTCCTTGTAAAATAGGGGGAAACAAAATAAGGAAGAGGACATTATTTGCTTTCGATGATTACACGAGTTCTTTTGAGATAGTGGACCATTCACAAGAGAATTGGACCTGTTGGGATTTTTTCCCACACTGATAATCAGTCTGAACTGCAAAAGCTTTTTTTTTCCTCCTATATTGTACATTCATCTTTCATTTCACCTTACCGACAAATCAGAATCCGTTCCAAAAATAAGAAGGGCCTCATTGTTCCTAGTCAGAACATGAGACCTTCTGGGAGGTGCTGGTATCTTTCTGCTCCAATGAAATAATTGCTAGAATAATTTATAGGCAATGACTTCTCATACAACAATGCTATTTGTTTGGAAATGTTTTCATTAGCTCTTTGTGGTATCCTTTCCATGTTTATTAGTTTGAGGCTCTATTTTTCATAGCTTCGCTAATACTAGCATCACGAATATGGATTGTGTCCACATTTTAAGCAAATGATATAGGAAAATACACATTAAAAGAGAAAGATTAACCAAAAAGTAGCTATACATGTGTCAAACAAATTTCTTAAGAAGATTCATCAGAATATAAATGGCTTTTTTATATTTAAAATGGGTCAATTTACAAAAATTTTATTTATATTCAACTTGGCAAATAGCTGCTACATAAAGTAAGACACAGGTATATTTAATATAATGATTTTGTACTAAATGGTAACCTAAGTCCCAGTGAGAAGCATCTTCCTAAGCACCTAAAGTCATAACAAGGGGCAAACAGGAATAATTTGATTTAGTGAAGTCACATGATCTCATAACTAGGTGGTACAGTGGAAAGAATAGTAGATCCAGAATCAGGAAGATGTGAGTTCAAATCCTACCTCAGAGCCTTATTAATTATTTGATTACAGGCAAGTCGTCTTACCTGTCAGACTTACTTTCTGCATCGATAAAATGAGAATAATAAGAGTAAGCAGTAAATTGCAGCAACTCTCCCATACTCACCTCCAGATAACCACAAAATAGAACCCCCAAATAAATCCTGGAACAGCTAAACCAGCAAAAAGACAGGGTGAAACAATCTTTTTGCCCAAGAAACTTGGAGGATAAGCAAGAAAGGTCCATTTCATGGGTGAAAGGGGAGTGCAGCCCAGGACAGGAAGCATCCCAGCAAGCCAGCAGCAAGCTCCCACCTTAGCATACCAGTGGGAGATCCTGAGCCCCAGTGCAATGGAGTAAGCAAACACCAACACCAGGACCCACCATGTGCCTTAGCATAGCTAGGAGAACTAGCAGATAGGCAGCCTCCAGAGGCCAGATTGCCACAAGCTGCCGCATGGACCCAGGGAAACAGGAGATGCCTACCCTACAGGTGCCTAAGCAAACAGGCAGCCTCCAGAGGCCTGACCACCATGTGCTTCAGTGTAGCCATGAGGAAACACAGAAACACCCCAGGCATCAGCACATGCCAGACACCACCGCTAGGACCCCAGTTCATTACCAGGTAAGCTGCCAGACCCCTATGGCATCCAGCAATGCCAGTCAACCCACATCCCACCCCCTCAGTGCAGCACCAGACATGAGGGTTCCCCATGGGCCTCAGAACAACATCAGTATAACACTAGGTAAACAGCCAGGGCCTGTAGCCCCTGGCACAAGAAGCCTGAGACAGTGCCCCTTCAACCCTGGGAGCAGAAGTCAAATTTAAAAGAAAGAGAAAAGGTCAAAAAAATTTTAAAAATTAAAAAGGATAAGCAGAAAACAACAAGGAAAAAGGAATCTGACCATAGAAAGTTATTATGGTGACAGGGAAGACCAAGACACAAACTCAAAAGGGGACAACAATGTCAAAATACCTATGGACAAAACCCCAAACAAATATGGGAAATGGTCTCAAGCCCAGAAAGATCTCATGGAAGAGCTTAAAAATAATGTAAGAAAGATAGAAGAAAAATTGGGAAAAGAAATGAGAGTGATGCAAGAGAATTATTAAAAAAGAGTCAACAGCCTAGAAAACTGCTTAAAAAATACAATTGGCCAAATGGAAAAGAAAGTATAAAAACTAATAGAGGAAAATAACACCTTAAGAGTTAGAACTGGGCAAGTGGAAGCTAATGACTCTATGGGACATCAAGAATTAATCAAACAAATTCAAAAGAATGAAAAAATTGAAGAAAATGTAAAATATCTCATGGGAAAAACAACTGACCTGGAAAATAGATCCAGGAGAGAAAATACTGGAATCATTGGACTACCTAAAAGCCATAATCAAAAGGAGGACCTGGAAAGCATCTTTCAAGAAATTATCAAGGAGAACTGCCCTGATGTGCTGGAACTAGAGGATAAACCAGACAAAGAATCCACCAATCACCTCAGTAAAGAAATCCCAAAATAAAAACCCCAAGGAACGCTACAGCCAAATTTCAGAACTATCCAGTCAAGGAAAAAATACTACAAGTGGCAAAAGGAAACAATTCAAATATTGGGGAGTCACAATCTGGATTACACAGGACCTGGCAGCTGCAACATTAAAGGATCAGAGATCATAGACATGATGTTCTGGAGGGCAAAGGAGATAGGACTACAACCAAGAATCACTTACCCAGCAAAATTAAACATAACAACATCAAGGGAAAGAAGGTCATTTGATGAAATAGAAGGATTTCAAAACTTCATAAGGAAAAGACCAGAACTAAACCAAAAATTTGACCTCCTGTGTCAAGACCTAAGAGAAGCATAAACAGGTAAAAAGGGAAAAGAACATATAGGGGATTCAATAGAGCTAAATTGTTTACATTCCTATACAGGAAGATGATACTTATAACTCTTAAAAATTGTATCACTAACAGTACAGATGGAAGGAATATACATAGACAGAGAATATGGGTTTAAGGTAAATTTGAGAGAATGACATAAAAAAATTAAGGGATGAGAAAGAGGAGTACAAATGATACAGAAGGAAGGGAGAAGTAGAATGGGGTAAATTATCTCATATGAAGAGGTGAGAATAGATCTATTACAGTGGAGGGGAAGATGTGAGAGTAGGCAATGAGCATCACTTGAACCTTACTCTCATCAGTATTGGTTCAAAGAGGAAATAATTTACACAATCAGTTGAATATAGAAATCTATCTTACCCAACAGGGAAGTAGGAGGAGAGGAGATTAAGTAAAGGGAGAGGGGCTGACATAAGGGATGGCAGATCAGGGGAAGTGGTAGAAAGAAGCAAAACATTGGTGAGATGGGAAAGGGTGAAAGGAAAGAGAGAACAAACAGGAGAAAGAATAAGATGGTGGGAAATATACAGGTAATAATCTAACTGTGAATATGAATGAGATGAACTCTCCCATAAAACAGAAGCAGATAGCACAGTAGATCAAAAAACAGAATCCTATAATATGTTGCTTACAAGAAACACACAAAGCAGAGACAGACACAGAGTAAAGGTAAGGGGCTAGAGCAGAATCTATTGTGCTTCAGCCAAAGTTAAAAAAAAGCAGGGGTAGCAATCTTGATCTTAGACAAAGTAAAAGCAAAAATAGAACTAATTAAAAGAGATAAGGAAGGAAACTACATCTTGCTAAAAAGTCACCATAGACAATAAAGCAATCAAGTTAGAAGAGCAAGGACTAGTCTACCTGTCAGATCTATGGGGAGGGGAAGAATTCATGACCAAACAAGAGACAGAGAACATTATGAAACACAGAATAAATAATTGATTACTAATAATATATTTTATATATTATATTATATATGATACATTATATATAATAATAGTAATAAATAAATTGATTATATTAAATTGGAAAGCTTTTGTACAAGCAAAACCAACGGAAACCAAGATTAGAAGGAAAGCAGAAAGCTGGGAAATAATCCTTACAGCAAGTATCTCTGATAAAGGCCTCATTTCTCAAATATATAGAGAACAGTGTCAAATTTATGAGAATACAAGCCATTCTCTAATTGGTAAGAGGTCAAGGTATATGATCAGATAGTTTTTAGATGAAGAAATAAAAGATATCTATAGGCTATCTATAGAAGTGTTCTAAATCACTTTTGGTTAGAGAAATGCAAATTAAAGTAGCTCTGAGATATCACCTTGCACCAATCAGATTGGTTGATATGACAAAAAAGAAAAATAATAAATGTTGGAGAGGATGTGGGAAAATTGAGACACTAGCGCACTTTTGGTGGAGTTTTGAACTGATACAACCATTCTGGAGAACAGTTTGGAACTATGACCAAAGGACAACCAAACTGTACATACCCTTTGATCCTGCAATACCCCTGCTAGGTCTGTATCCCAAAGAAATCATAAATAATGGAAAGGGATCTACATGTACAAAAATATTTATAGCAGGCCCTTGCGTGGTGACAAAGTATTGGAAATTGAAGGGATCCCTATCAATTGGGGAATGGATGAACAAGCTGTGGTATATGGGTGTAATAAAATACAATTGTGCAATAAGAAATAATGAACAGGCACATTTCAGAAAAACCTGGAAAGATTTGTACAAACTGGTGCAAAGGAAAATGAGCAGAATCAGGAAAACATTGTACACAGTAGTGATAATCAACTATGAATGACTCAGCTTTTCTCAGCAACACAATGATCTAAGATAGGTACAAAGGACTCACAAAGGAAAATGCTGTCCATATCTAGATAAAGAATTGATGGACTTAGAATGCAGATCAAAGCATTTTTTCACTTACTTTATTCTTTCTCATGATTTTATTTCCTTTTGATCTGTTTCTTCTTCCACAACTGTGATGAATATGGAAATATGTTTTACATGATAAACATGATATACATGTATAAACCATATTAAATTCCTGACCATTTTGAGAAGGAGGAGAAGAGGAAGGCAGGAAAGAAGAAAAATTTGGAAGTCAAAATCTTGTAAAGATAAATGTTAAAAGTTTTCTTGGTATGTAATTAAGAAAAAATAAAATATTGTTTAAATTTTTAAAAATGAGAGTAATAAAAGCATCTATATCACAGGGTTGTTGTGAAGATCAAATGAGATACTATATATATGTATGTATATATAGATATAAAGTGCTTTGAAAACATCAAAGTTTTATATAAATGTTAGTTGTTTAATAATAATAATAATAATTAATAATATCTGTCACCTCTAAGTGAGTATTTTTTAAATCAATAAGAACTTACTATGTTTCTGATATGTACCCAGCAGTATGCTAGGTGTTCAAAGACACAAAGAAGAAGAAGAAGACATAGTACTTGCCTCTGTGAAAATTTACTTTCCATTATAGGTATGTGTTAAATCATTACTATCTAAATGTATATTTGTCTTTATTTACATAGGGGAGCAAACTGTATGGAAACGATCCTCCAACAACATCACCCACTGATCAACCGCCATCAATGGGTGAAGAGCTCCAAGAATAGTAATATCTACTTCTTTGCCAACAGCCGTGCTTCCAGCCTGGCCCCCATTGCCTTTAGGCAGGGGAACAACTTCTAAGAAAAAAGATGCCTAACATCCCCACCACCAACACCAATCACTAACTGCCCCCAATAGGTGGTAAGAGCAATGCTCCTGGGGCTACCAGCCTAGGTACTGCAGAAATCATCCAGAGAAATTACCCTTGTGGAGATATGACCTGGCAACCTGCCTCTATAGGTGCTATTGCTCCTTCCTCCATAGTAGCCACAGTTCTTGAAGATCAAAAAAGAAAGTTCTCATCACCAAAAATCTTGGGAGCGTCAAAATGATTCAACATCAAAAATTGAGATGTTTTGGTTGATGGAAATGACATTAAGGAAGATGTATTACCATTTTCTTTGTCACTATACCTTAAGGACCATGAGACCTTTCTGTCTACCCTGCAGCTGAACCATTCCATATGTGTTCTCTTACCCTATTAGAATGTGAGCCCCAGGGAGCAGGGACGGTTTTGCTTTCCTATTTGTATCCTTAGCACTTAGCATAGTGCTAAGCACATAGTAAACATTTAAATGATTTTTTCATTCGTTCATTCATTTACATTTTGATGTTTATCCACAATGATTTTAGCTTTTATATTTAATTAGCTTGATTCTCCCCACACTAGGGGGTGGGAAGAAAGAAAACCAGCATTCATTAAATGTCTACTTTGTGCCAGGCACTATGCTAAACACTTCACAAATATCATTTCATTTGATCCTCACAATAATGTTGAGATGTAGGTTCTGCTATGATCTTTATTTACAGTTGAGGAAACTGAGGTAGAGGTTAAGTGGTTTGTTCAGGGTTACACAGCTAGTAAGTGTCTAAGGCTAGATTTGAACTCAAGTCTTCCTTATTCCAGATCCAACACTCAATCCACAGTGCCACCTGCCTATGGGGTATGAGAATGGACTTGTCGAATGCAAAATTTAACAAAAAGGTAAATTGAGGCAATTCTCTGAGCAAGATAACAATTTGTTAATAGAGTACTGAGCCTATGAATAAAGGATGAGTCAAATGGCACTGCCTCTGGCCAAAAGACCGCAAATTGAAGATGCAACTCATTTTTAAGAGCATAAAACAAAGAACAGAACAAAAATCATATGATTTCCCAGCATTATAGGAGTGAGGGATCATGATTAATCACATCAAAGAAATAGCATACACATGGGATGGAGACTACCTCTATCTATCTCTAAGGAATGCTTTTGTGAATTTTATAGGCTCCTGATATGGGTCCCTGAGGTCACTGATGGGGACCCAGGTATGCAAACTCACTGGCCCCTGGGGGAGTAGATAAGACCACCTTCGTAATTGCCAAAGATGTGACAAGGTCAGTTAGTACAGCTTCTCAAGAATAGCACACAAACCTTACAGGAAATGCTGAGATAATGCTTTATCATAATATTGAGGACAGAGTTTTTTCTTTAACTAACAGTAACTATGGGAGAGCTTAAGCCTTTGGTATCTGACTTCAGAGAGAAAGAGACTGAACCTTTGAACTCATGAGCTTCTTCACTCAGAAACAGAGAATAGGCTTAGGTTTGTTGCATAGAATATAGTTACGGAATCAAATCAAATATGAAATACAGGATCAAGAATAAATTCTCAAAGGCTATTCCATGTACCTCCTCTTTTTCCCTTTAACCACAAAGCCATAAATATTACAGCTGGATGGTCTTGGAGGCCATTTGGTCCACTCCCCTCCCCCAATTTTTCATTCTTATTACCTAGAACTCCAGACAAATGAAAGAGAAATTTAACTCTGTTATTGGAAGCCACCTATGGATTACGTGCAGTGCTCAGGAGGAGAGGTCTCACTGTGGGCACGGGAAGCATTTGCGAAGGCTCACAGACAAAGAACTTGCTTTGGAAAATTATAGGCAGGGATGCCTTAAGGGACAAGAACAAACCCATGACAACCGTGCCCAAATTCCTAGGCTCATACATTTAGTGTTAGAAGGGACTTTGAAGATTTAATATAACTCATTCATTCTAAAAATGAGGAAACTGAGGCCTAGAGAGAGGAAATGATGGAAAGAAATTTATAGGGTCTCCACTCAAACCCAGATTGTCTGACTCCAAATGAAGGCTTCCCATCTATCCCAGCACCATTATATCACCTTGCAGAGGATGAGTCTAGTCAATTGACAATTGGCCTCCCACCCTGACCCCTACAAAAAAAAATGGGCAATATTTTGTCCTTTAGGGTTTAGAGCAGAGTACATTTTTAGCCATTTATCTTTAAATTTTGTAAAATGATATAGATTCACGTACAACGTCATGCCCTAACTCAAAACCAAAAATTCAGTCCAATCCTCCAAAAGGAGGAAGGACAGTGGTACAGAAAGTATAAGGTCAGGAAAAAACAATATAGTATTGGATAGAAAGGAAATAACAGAAGTAGAAAAATGTAAAGAGATACCTCCCTTTTGCCTCTAGTATACAGATAGTGCCTTCTTTTTTTTGTTTTGTTTTGTTTTGTTTTGGCTAGGCAATGTGGTTAAGTGACTTGCCCAGGGTCACACAGCTAGTAAGTGTTATGTGTCTGAGGCCACATTTGAACTCAGGTCCTCCTGAATTCAGGGCCGGTGCTCCATCCACTGTGCCACCTAGCTGCCCCTAGATAGTGCCTTCTTGAAACTGGGGAGGGAGGAGTAAGGTGCAGTCAAGTTTCTTAATCATATTATTCTTTGGTTAATTACCACATATTGTTAATATTGAAAACAAATTTCTGTCATAATTTTGGTCATTTGTATCATATCAAAAAAATTGTAGAATTTGAGACCTTAAGAGATCTTTGTGTATGTGTCTATCTATCTGTATGATCTATGATATATGGTAAGGAGTTAATAAGAAGTGTGGATACTTTAAATACATATTAGGGTGTGTGTGTGTGTGTGTGTGTGTGTGTGTGTGTGTGTGTGTGTGTG